GGCGACAGAGGAGTGGCAAAGCAAATCCCTTCACATTTGTGTTGTGTTTTGGTGTTGCAAAAACACTTAGTTTTTAAAATGCCACAATACTCCAATTCAGTAAAAATGTTTTGATAAGTTAAAAGCTGCTTTGTTTAAACAATTATTCACTTAGGCCTGCTCCCGTTTGGAAGCTGAGCAGCTGATCCTGATGTTGCTGTCAGTGTTTGGTGTCTCTGTGCAGCATTTGGTACAGTGACTCCTTGGGAGCTGGAAAGCTCTATGAAGACTGTCTGCCCCAGGGAGCAGGAGGATACAGTGAAAGGAGCCCAAACAGGCTCTTGGTTAGGCCTGGAGAGCCCAGCATAGTTACACAGCTAAAGCAGAGCCTGCTGGGTTTGACAGTGGGTGAGGTGGGAGTGCAGAGTTGTCCCTTAGAAACAGGAGACGATCTCTCCATGTGTGTTTTTATCACAGGGTGTTTCTCATGAGCTGCTCTGGCTTGTGCTGGCTTCAGTGTCCCTCTCCCCTGCCCCTGGTGGAGCAGCGGGACGTGCCCCCATCCCGGCGTGCCAGGGCCGCGGGATCGCCCGGTGAGATCTCACGGCACAGCCATGAACACCTTCCAGAGCTGCCTCGTGCTCCACGCTGCCGCCTTCACTCATCCTGTGGGTCACTCTGGGCTCCTGTCTGTGACACTAAAGCCTGACGAGCTGCCTCCTCTGCAGCCCCGGGTGTCGTGTCGGAGCCCTCCTTCTGCTCCAGCTGGCTCAGCCTTCATTCCCGGGCGTGGCAGGAGTGCCCAGTTCAGCTGGGGTGGTGGGAGCAGGGCAGCCGCGTGCGGAGCTCCCGCGTGTGCCCGCGGGCTCGGGGCCACACCAGCAGCAGCTGTGCAGGGAGTGGGGCTGGAAGTGTGCAGGAGGTGTGTTGGGAGCGTGCTACCACCTTGCCTGCCACTGTCAGTGCATAGCAGGCAGTGGTGCTGGGAGTGCTGCTCACTGAGTGTTCAGAGTGGAACACGGGGATATATGTGTGTGCTGGGACACGTGTGTGAGAGAGACGGTGTGGGGCGTGACGGGGAGCAGAATGGAAAGGGAAAGAAACGAAATCCCTGGAAATCCCATGGCCCTGTTGTACTGACTGTGCTTACTGTGTCCCTGTCCCAGGTGAGCACAGCCACGAGCTGCAGTGAGCGGTGCTGGAGCCAACGGGGTTTCCTGGCCAGGGTGGTGAGTGTTGGGCATCCCCCTGGAGCACAAGGATCCTGACCCTGCCCATGCCTCCTGGGAAGGCTGCAGCACTCCCGGGGAAATGCAGGACACAGGCAGCTGTGTCAACAGAAGTGAGGGGGGAGTCCCCAGGACCTGCCCGTGTCCTTGCTCCTGCTGCAAAAACTTCAGCTGTGACCCATGTGCACTGCAGGGACCTCGTGTTGCTTTCACTGTTCTAAGGACTTGACATTGTTGAGTGTTGTCTGCTCCAGACAATGTGAAACAATTCTGAAATAAAGTGCTTAAAAAGTAAAGAAAGGATAATTACCCTTACACATTATGCCAGGAGAGACAGCATCCCCACGTGAGCTGGCAGTGCTGCCCCTGGCCCTTGCTTTGGGCCTGGGTCTCACATGGCTCCTGCTTTAAGATTCCCAGAGGTCTGAGGGGTGCAGTTGTGTTTGTGCCTGTCTGAAGCCCTTTAACAAAGCCAAGGGGAGAGGATTTCCCAGAGGCATCCCCAGGGATTCACCCGTCCAGTCCTACTGCAAGGGTTGCAGGTGGAGAATGCGGTGGCTGTGGTCCCAGCACGTGGTCCTGGCTGGGGCAGCAGTGGGTGGCCAGCAGGGCTCCTCCATGTTGAGTTTCTTTGATCCGAGTGTTTGTTTTCTCACGTACTTTGTTTCCAATTCAGCAAAACACTCCCTGGTGTTTACAAACCATTGAGCTTTGGGAAACTGAAGCTCCTCGTTCCCCACTTCACTGGTCCCAGCAGCTGAAATGCCAGAGATCCCAGCATCTCCCTTTACATGTCCCCATTTCAGCATGGCTGTGGGGTGCTTGTGGTGGCTGATGCCAGGATTTCCCTTCCTCCATCCCCAGCAGGTGAACATTTTCTTTTTCCCCTTATCCTTATCTCTTACAGCGCCAGCCCCGGCTCCTCACGGCGTGTGGGAACAGGGCCGACAGCAGCAGTGCCCACGCCAGCTCACTGAGATCATCCATCAGTGACTACGCCAAAGGCTCTGTGGCGGGAGGGATGGGGTGATAGTGCAGAGGGGTCCCTGCCCCCATGAGCCCAGGCCCTGCCCAGCCAGTCATACCTGCTCCTTACCTGGGAAAAGGGGTAAGGGGAAGGAGTTCCTCTGCTCTGAGACAGGAGCAGTGGTCTGGGGCTGAGAGCCTGAGGTATGCTCAGTCCCCTCTGGCTGATGGGGGAGCAGGGGAGGGGCTCCCAGCCCCCTGGCAGTGTGTGCAAAGGCTCACAGGTTCTCTGCTCTTTGGAGACACAGTTCCTACTCTGTGTGGCCATGAGCTGTGCAGCCCATGGCAATTCAAACTTAATTTTTATAGAGAGATGAATCACTCAAAATTATCAAATGTAGCAACAGAATGGATTTGAAGATTAGTGTGAGAGGCTTTTTTTGTGAATCCCAAAGTCACGTCAGGAGCTTGACAACCCCTGTCCTGTTGCAGGCACTAAGCAGTAAATGAGTGATGCCCACTTTCCTAGGAAACTGGCATTTGTTTTATGTATGAATTCACTTTCTTTTCCTTTTTTTAAAATCTTTTAAGCAGTTAATAAGAATCAGATCGTGATTTGATTATTGGAAAAGATGTTTTCTGCAAGAAGCTGTAAGCCATGTCAGCGCTGCTGCCCCTGCAAGTTCCCTGTGTGGGGGACAAAGTGTGCTGGGAGAGGAGGGGCATTGCACCCAGCTCTGGCCATGTGCTGGGCATTTGTCCAGAGGATACCGACAGAGAAAATATCAAAAACTCTCCTAAAATCCAAAAATCCCACCTCTGCTGGTGGGTAACCTTGCCGTAACCTTGTCATTCCAGCTATGGTTTAATTTGTTTTGTCTTGTAACGATATTTCCAACCTTATAAATGTGCTGATTTTGGTTTAATCTTGTGCAGTTCTTCAAGTGGACTTGGCTGAATCCAGGCACATGACTTTAATCACAGCCACAAATCTAAATTAGCAGCATTAAGTTAGCAAATCTAAATGAGCGCAGTGTCCCCAGCCAAGGCTGTCTGGGGACCCCGGTGGCCGAGCTGCAGATGCCCTGAGCCACCGAGCCCCTTCCAATCTGGTGCGTGCCAGATGTAGATTAAAGGGCAGGTGGCTGCCCCTGGCTGTCACTGCAGATGCCAGGTCAGGAGGTGGCCAGCGGGTGACACCAGTGGGGTTTGGGGGCCTCACCAGGCGCTTTCCTCCACTGCTCAGCATTGCCGTTCTCCTCCAGGTTCTTGTCACCTGTGGGGCCACCCCAACCTGCAGTGCTGGCACGAAACTGAGTCCACAGAACATACCTTTATGCTACTTCCTGCCACAGCTAACAGCAGCAGGAATGGTGATGGTTGTGCTGGTTATGGGAGCAACTCCCAGCACTGCCCACTGCAGCAGACTCCGCTGAGGACCTTGGTAACACGATCTTTTATTTTTCCAATGGGGACTCAAGAGTTGGAGCCAGCAGTCCTGAATACCTGCAGTCCTCAGAAGTATCTGGAAAAAATACATTAATAGTGCTGAAAAGCAGAGTTTAGGCTGGTATTTTCACTCATCCTTTTTGCTGCCTCCCCGGCTTGCGTGGCACCACCGATGGGTTATGGATGGACAACAGGAGCAGTAATTGTTGTTCTGACGTTAAATGGCTTTAAATATCAATGACAATTTAAGATTCCTGCTCCTGGCTGGCTGTGAAACTGTATTTTAGCTGATCTTCATTAATGCATCTCTGGGATGATAATGGGTCTGAGTAATCCGATCCGAACATGTGTAATTGTGCTGGTCCCGAAGGGAGCTGGGTGCTTCATTCCCAGTGTGAAGCCCCTCTGAGCTATGTTGCTCACGATGGCATATTCCCTCTCAGACACGTGGGTGCTTCTCCACGGGACCTCCGCGGTGCTCCCACCTGCTCCACAAAGGAGCATCCCCCGTCCCTCCCTCCACGGAGCCTTTGGCGTAGTCACTGATGGATGATCTCAGTGAGCTGGCGTGGGCACTGCTGCTGTCGGCCCTGTTCCCACACGCCGTGAGGAGCCGGGGCTGGCGCTGTAAGCGATAAGGATAATTGAGCCGCCGGGCTTTCCGGGGGGAGCAGCGGCAGCCGGAGAGCTGTGATCCGCTAAAATTAGCCCATGATCCGTTTTTATTTAGATCCCTGTTGTGGGGGCTATTCTTGGGTTTTGTTTTATATATATTTTTTTTTGTTTTATTTGCATTTTTGGGGTTTGAATGACATAAAATTAGCTCCTTCTGAGTTTATTCTGAAAATAGCATTAAGAGCTTAAACGTTCAGTGGAGATGACTGTAAAGCCATGGAGCTGCAGTGATTTCAAGGCAACTGGGACTTTCAGCTTAGCAAGTGAAGCACACATGAACCACCCCTCATTTTCCACACCTGGACATTTGTCATTATGGCCAAGCATCTCCAGCCCAGGAGGCTGAGGGATCTGTTGGGATGCAGAGGTGCACTGTGTGGTGGGATGGGCTCTAGCAGGAGGGGCCTGAGAGGCTGCATGTGCAGTGTCACCAGTGGCTTCCCAGTCGTTTTGTCCCTTGTATTTGAGAGTCTGTGTGTGTATCTGTGTGTTTGCAAACATGCCTGTCTCTCAGCTGTCCCCTGGCAGGCAGCACAGGCGCTCCTCTGTCAGGACAAGGGAATGACAAAGAACCAGGTAACGCAATGAGAGGGGCACACTGCTACTTGAACCTTCATGGCTTAACCACAGTCTGTCTTGGCTTTTTTATCGTGTCCTGTGCTTGTCTCACAGAGACTAACTGCCATTTGCTCTCCCTTGCAGGCTCTTGAACCTGATCTACAATGGAAAAACTGCTTTTGTTTCTGCTGTTCATTGGCATAGCAGTGCGAGCTCAGATCTGCCCCAAGCGCTGCGTCTGTCAGATCCTGTCTCCGAACCTCGCCACCCTCTGTGCCAAGAAAGGGCTCTTGTTCGTTCCTCCCAACATTGACAGGAGGACTGTGGAGCTGCGGCTGGCAGACAACTTTGTTACAAACATTAAAAGGAAAGACTTTGCCAACATGACCAGCCTGGTGGACCTGACGCTGTCCCGGAATACAATCAGTTTTATCACCCCTCACGCGTTTGCCGACCTGCGCAATTTGCGGGCTCTGCATTTGAACAGCAACCGATTGACTAAGATCACTAATGACATGTTCAGCGGGCTCTCCAATCTCCACCACTTGATACTGAACAACAACCAGCTGACTTTAATTTCTTCCACAGCTTTTGACGATGTTTTAGCCCTTGAGGAATTGGATTTGTCTTACAACAATCTGGAAACCATCCCCTGGGATGCCGTGGAGAAGATGGTCAGTTTGCACACTCTCAGTCTAGACCACAACATGATTGACCATATTCCTAAGGGGACCTTCTCCCACCTCCACAAGATGACCAGGCTGGACGTCACGTCTAACAAACTGCAGAAGCTTCCTCCTGACCCACTCTTCCAGCGTGCTCAGGTGCTGGCAACCTCAGGAATTATCAGCCCCTCGACGTTTGCGCTGAGCTTCGGTGGGAACCCCTTGCATTGCAACTGTGAGCTTTTGTGGCTGAGGCGCCTTTCCAGGGAGGACGACCTGGAGACCTGTGCCTCTCCCACACTCCTGTCTGGCCGGTACTTCTGGTCGATCCCCGAGGAGGAGTTCCTCTGCGAGCCCCCGCTCATCACCCGGCACACCCACGAGCTGCGGGTGCTGGAGGGGCAGCGGGCAGCCCTGCGCTGCAAGGCCCGGGGCGACCCTGAGCCAGCCATCCATTGGATTTCACCTGAGGGCAAACTGATTTCCAATGCCACCAGGTCCGTGGTGTATGACAACGGGACGCTCGACATCCTCATCACGACGGTGAAGGACACAGGCTCCTTCACCTGCATTGCTTCCAACCCGGCAGGGGAGGCCACTCAGACGGTGGACCTGCACATCATCAAACTCCCCCACCTGCTGAACAGCACAAACCACATCCATGAGCCCGACCCGGGCTCCTCGGATATCTCCACGTCCACCAAGTCGGGCTCCAACGCGAGCAGTAGCAACGGGGATACAAAAGTCAGCCAGGATAAGAAGGTGGTTGTTGCGGAAGCAACGTCCTCCACTGCTCTGCTGAAATTCAATTTCCAGAGGAATATACCTGGGATACGTATGTTCCAAATCCAGTACAATGGTACTTACGATGACTCCCTTGTTTACAGGTAAGGCTGCCCCAGCCTGTGCAGGGCTGTACCGGGTGCTCGGTGCTGGCGTGGGGCCCCCGGCCCCGGCAGCTCATCTGCCAGACTTCCCGTGCCGTGCTGGGCTGGCCGAGCAGAGCCTGGCCCCTGGCAGCTCATGGTGGGAGCCTTGGGAAGGACTCATGCCATTTTCTACTCACAGATGGGGAAGTTACCTTGGATGGTGTTATTTTTAGATAATCCAAACGGACCTCTAATCCTCTGAACTGATCCGAGAAGGGTTGTGAGAGTAGATGGATTAAATGGATCTTAATGTGCTCGGCTTTCTGGAAGCAGAGGGAGGACAGTGTCCGTGACCGTGTTCCTTGCAGTACTTTCCGGCGGTGTCCGTGCTGGGGAAGTGCAGGGGAGATCTGTGCTGCTGGGCGTGGCCATCACACCCTTCAACACTGTCTTTGTTTGGTTATTTCTTCTATGAATTTCTTTGTCCCATTAATAGGACAAGTGGTGCTGCCTTTAAACTGAAAGGGGGTAGATACAAATCAGATACTGGGAAGGAATTCCTGGCTGTGAGAGTGAGAAGGCCCTGGCACAGGTTTCCCAGAGAAGCTGTGGTTGCCCCTGGATCCCTGGAAGTGTCCAAGGCCAGGCTGGATGGGGCTTGGAGCAACTTGGGCTAGTGGAAGGTGTCCCTGCCCATGGCAGGGGGTGGCACTGGGTGACCTTTAAATGTCCCTTCTGACCCAAACGAGCCTGGGATTCTGTAATTCTGCTTTTGATGTGGTTGCTCTGATGGGAGGCTCTGCCGTGCCAAGCTGTGCTGGGGAGCTTGGTGGTGACTGCGCCACATCAAACACTGGGCAGCAGCTGCTGGGGGACAGTGATCAGCCCTGTGGGGGCTGTGGCAGAGGTGGGACAGCCAAGCCGTGGTGCTCATCATGTTCAGGGCTGCCAGGAGGTGCCTGTGTGTCTGCCAGGGTCATTCACGCTGGTTTCCTTCTCCCCCAGAATGATACCTCCCACAAGCAAAACCTTCCTGGTCAACAACCTGGCCGCGGGGACGATGTACGACCTGTGCGTCCTGGCCATCTACGACGACGGGATCACCTCGCTGACGGCCACCAGGGTCGTGGGCTGCACACAGTTCACCACCGAGCAGGATTACGTGCGCTGCCACTTCATGCAGTCCCAGTTCCTGGGGGGGACCATGATTATCATCATTGGTGGGATCATCGTGGCTTCGGTGCTCGTGTTCATCATCATCCTCATGATCCGCTACAAGGTGTGCAACAACAACGGGCAGCAGAAGGCCACCAAGGTCAGCAACGTGTACTCGCAGACGAACGGGGCTCAGATCCAGGGCTGCAGCGGGGTGCTGTCGCAGTCCATGTCCAAGCAGGCTGTGGGGCACGAGGAGGGTGTCCAGTGCTGCAAGGCTGCCGGCGATGGCACGATGCAGTCGCCGGACACCGGCTCCAGCCAGGACTCGGCCACCACTACCTCCGCTTTGCCTCCCACCTGGACTTCCAGCACCTCCCTCTCGCAGAAGCAGAAGCGAAAGTCGGGGCCCAAGCCCGTCCCCGAGCCGCAGGGCGAGGCTGGCGGCAGCGCCGAGCCCCAGAACTCGAACAGAAATAACTCCACGGCCCTGCAGTTGCCAAGCCGCGCCCCCGCCGCGGCCCCCGCCGCCCCCACGTACAAAAGAGCACAATCAAAGCCAAGTAAGTTCCTCACTCTGCCGGCCGACACATCCCGGGCCAAGCGCCGGCGCTCGCTGGGCGGGGAGCTGCTGGAGCCCCGCGGCGCCGGTGCCGGCGGACTGCGCTCCAAACGGAGCTTGTCCATGAACGGGATGCTAGTCCAGGCAGACAGCGCCGGTGCCGATAGCGGAAAAGCAACTTTCTCCAGTTCTGAGTGGATATTGGAAAGCACTGTGTGACCTGCTTTTTTTTTCTTTTTCTCTTTTTTTTTTTTTAAATTTTATTTTAACGATAAACAAAACACCAAACATTGCGTGAAACTCCCTCTCCAGGGGAATTGGATTTGGAGGTCCACTGCTATCTCGCTGATTAATGGCTTGTTCATGCGGGGTTCTGTATAAGCCACCCAGTGCACACAGGGGTTTATTTAGTTTTTGTTTGGTTTTATTTAATATCAAAATTGAAGGCAACATTCAGAGATTTAAAAAGAAAAAAAGAAAAAAAAAGGAAAAAAAAGATTAAGGGGTGAAAAAAAGCACGAAACAGCACCAGTGCCTTCCCTGCTCTAGGACTGGCTTCCTGGTTCTGCAGTAGCAGAAAACAAAAGAGAGAGTTTTCACAGAAAAAGCCTTTTATAAAGGAAATGCAATTTCCTCCAAGCTAACAAATAACCACTTCTGGATCAATCAGTAAAATGATATTTTTTAAACTGGTCAGACTGTACATTTCTTTTCCGTGACAATGGTGTTGCCTTTGTTTTTAGGCAGATGCTGTACAGGAGCAACAACACTGTGTTGTTATGTTGTGTAAAATAAAATATTCACTCGGTACCCCAGCCAGCCTCGCGGTGACTGCCCCGCCGGAGCCGGGCCGGGTCCCACCGCGGGGCCGGGACGAGGACGAGGAAGGTGCCAGGGCGAGGGGTCCAGGTGGAGCGGCAGGGCCCCGCCAGGTCTCCTCAGGAGGGTGTCTGACCCGCGGTCCCTGAGCACCCGCAGCCCACGGCACAGGCATCGCCCCCGCCCTGGAGCTTTGGGGCCGGGCTGGGGCTCCTCGGGCTGTGGGGCAGGGCCGGGCAGGGCAGCGAGCGGGGCCGGGGGTGCAGGCAGGGCTGCAGCAGGAAGGCACGGGGCTGTTCAGCGCCTCGCTGGTGGTTGATCGGGATGATGATGGTCATCTCCTGCTGTCCTAGACTTTTGGGCATGTTTACTGTAAACTTTATGTTTTGTTCCAGTTCTCTTCAGTCCCTGAGCACAGTGAGGGGACTTAAAGATGATGGTCTCACCTTTAACCTGCTGTTGGTTGCGGAGCCCGTGGGCTGGAGTGATTTGGGGCCACTCTGTAGGGACAGGACATGCAGCAGTGGGGGACAGCAGGTGCAAACCCCACGCTGGGTGGGTGGCAGCCCTGCGTGTGCTGCTCTGCTCTGCAAAGGGAAGCCTGCAGTTAATATTAATTAAACTCATATGGTCATCACGTTCAAATTAGCGACAGCTTAACTCTGAACATTAGTGCATTGTGCATTCTCAGATGCCAAATAATAGGTTCGAGATGGGCTTTGCAGCCATTAAAGTGAGAGAACAGTTAAATTTTACGCCCTGTGTGTTTGTTCTTGGGGACAACATAACCCAGACCAGGTGCCTGAGGACAACCTGGCTCTACCCAGGGCAGCAGCTGGCCCCAGGCAGTTGTGAGGGGAATGTCCCCTGGTATCCCTGCCTCTGTCTCTGGGACTCTGCAGGGTGAGGATGGTGTTCTTGGCCGTCGTGGGTTGCTCTGGGTGATTTTATTGCCCATCATGGAAGAACAAAGTCTGGATGAGGGTTGTGTAGAGAACACAAAAGGAAGAGGCTTGTTTCTTTTTTAGAAACCCTTTTTGCTTCCCTTGGGAAATGCAGAGACCAAATACGAAACGAAGCCACAAAATGAGAAAAACCACTTCCTGCTGGGAAAGTTAGAAAAAATTATAATAAATCCCTCCTTGGATTGCTCTGGCAGCCCATGTGCTCCTCAAGGGCTGCATGCACAGAAGGGAGCTGTGAAATAAGGTGCTGCCAAGGACAGGGATGGTGTGTCCAGGGACTGGCAAAATGATGGTTAAGGCTTTGCCCAGCATGGAACAAACACGAAGGTCCAAGCCCTGGTGAGGGGCTGCAGAGGCACCTTCCCTCTGTATTGGGGCACAGGGAGAGCATCACAGGTTTGCTGCTGAGGGGTTGGGTTTAATTGTGCTTTTTAAAAACATCAAATGAAAATGCTTTATATGTTGTCTAAAGTTGGACCTAAATGTGTCTGATGTTTTGTGAAAGTGTTAAAATATTAATGGCTTCTTGTGGTTTAGGGAAGTTTATTTTTATATTTTTAAATTTTTACTCAAAGGAGTAATTTTCTAAGCACTGCAGCTGATGTTCTGTCTATGGTGCCTCTGCGTCAGCAGCGCAGAGGGACCACATGGCCCTATGTTCGATTTAATTCTCTGCTGATAGTGCAGGAATGGAGACCTGGGCAGCTGTGGGTTCCTCTGGTGCCAATTCCTCTCCCTGACTGAGAGGAGCATCCCTTGGGAATGCCTCAGGCACGAAATTGGCTGTTCCCACTGGAGTAACTGTGCAGTGGGACATCGTGTTTTATTCGGGCTTGATTCGAAGTATGGGAAGCCTCGTGGAGGAGGAAATTCTCTGTCCTTTCTGTTCAGCAAAATCAGAGTTTGCCAGGAGTATGAGGCAGAAAAAGTGCTGAGATGCTCCTGGATCAGAATAACATCGGTCATCTTCTCCAAATTGGAATAACTGCTCACCATTGGAGGTGATTGGTGTGAACGCATCGGGCAGTTTGGGGATATCAGGGGGACGGGAGGTGTGATGTACTGTGGCCCCAGTGTCACCCCCAGCTGCAGAGGGGTCTGCAGGGACATGAGCCCCTGGTGCCACCCCTGGCTCGGCTCCATGTGCTCCTGCTCGGATATAGATTGTCCGAGGTTTTAGCGGTAAGAGGGTCTTTATTCACAGGCACTGGAGGAGGAGAAACTGCTTCAGAAAGTTTTCTCTTACTGAAATGGCTGAAACACACCCCTGGGCCCAGGCCTTCTCTGGAGGTGGTGCTGTGTTAGAGGCTGGTGCAGCCATGCCTGGATGGAGGAGGAGAGTGTTGTGTTGTGTCTGTTGTTTCCCTGCTGCTTTCCTGCTGTGCCCAGGCGTGTCCTTACCATCAATACATGGTGCTGCTCCGCTCTGGTGCCAACGTGGCTTTATTTCTGCAGCGTGTCCCCGTGCGTTTGCCAGCCGTCCTCATGCCCACGCAGCCCTGCAGACAGGGAGGGGGAGCTGGGGAGCACAGCTGTGTGCCCCATGCCTGGAAGAAAGGACACAGCTCCTGGGAACACGTCACTCTGGCTGGGAAGGGCCCGGCACTGCCAGGACATGCCGCCTGCCCAAGGGCTCCTGCTGGGGCACTGGCATGAGGTGGTCTCATCCCTGCCAGTGACAGAGCTGCTGGAGGCTAGAGGTCTGATGCCAGGAGCACAGGGATGCTCCTGCCTCCTGGGAACCATGACAGCCCTGCTGGGCACTGCTCTGGGAGCATCCCGGGCCGGTGGAGTGACACTGAGCCGTGACAGGTGACAGTCCCGCGCAGCCGCGTGCGCCCTCGAGAAGGTGCAGCAAGGCCCTTTCCGTGCCATGGCAAGACCATGCCTAGAGCCACGGCAGGCACCCGGCACAGAGAGGGGCACACTGCTTTCCCGGGAATGGCTTCAACAGGAGTAACAGCCACAGCTGCTACCATGACTGCTTCTCTTCCCAGCAACCGAGGGGAACCAGAGCCTTGGTGACCCTGGAGCCTCGGCGGTGCCGGAGCCTCGGTGACCCTGGAGTGTCAGTGGTACCAGAGCCTGAGCAGGACCACTCACAGAGTGGACACACCTCTGCACTGCCATCGCTCAGGAACATTCACCAGTGTGTTCCAGGGTGCTGCTGCCCACCTGGGGTGCACCATTGCTCCCCTAAAGCTGCACTAACAGCAGCCACCTGGTTGCACGGTGTCTTCCCTGGCAGTAATTTTGTTGTTGGTCAGAGTTCTGGTTTAAAAGCAGCAAACTGTGGCCAGTCCACAGGGTCCTTATAGAAAATGTGGATCCCCCCTTTCCCCTTTGCAAACGTGTCCCCGTGTGCCTGGATGTGTGTCAGGGTGCTGGGCCTGGGGCAGAGCTGGTGCTACCAGGTTGGCCTGTGCTGGGTCAGTCGCCCACAATGGCCCCTTGGCCCAGCCAGGGCTCCCCACAGGCGAAGTGCCAAGTCCTGTGCCAGTGGCTGTGTGGTGCTGCACCCCCCATGGCTGCTGAATTGTTCCAGGAGCCACCAGGCACCACGGAGGGGTCCGACTAGCAGCACCTCACCTGCACGGCAGCAGTGCCGGCTGTGGGCAGGGACACAGCAGCACTGAGTGCCAGGGAAGTCAGCTCTGAGCAGGAACACCTGTGCCCTGTGCTGTCACTGGTCTGGAGAGTGGTTGGGGTCTGGAGTGTGGCTGGGATCTGGAGTGTGGCTGGGATCTGGATTGCAGCTGAGGTCTGGAGTGTGGCTGGGATCTGGAGTGCGGCTGAGGTCTGGAGTGTGGCTGGGATCTGGAGTGTGGCTGGGATCTGGAGTGTGGCTGGGATTTGGAGTGTGGCTGGGATTTGGAGTGCGGCTGAGGTCTGGAGTGTGGCTGGGATCTGGAGTGTGGCTGGGATTTGGAGTGTGGCTGGGATCTGGAGTGTGGCTGGGATCTGGAGTGTGGCTGGGATTTGGAGTGCGGCTGAGGTCTGGAGTGTGGCTGCGATCTGGAGTGTGGCTGAGGTCTGGAGTGTGGCTGGGATCTGGAGTGTGGCTGAGGTCTGGAGTGTGGCTGGGATCTGGAGTGTGGCTGAGGTCTGGAGTGCGGCTGAGGTCTGGAGTGTGGCTGCGATCTGGAGTGTGGCTGGGATCTGGAGTGTGGCTGGGATCTGGAGTGTGGCTGAGGTCTGGAGTGTGGCTGAGGTCTGGAGTGTGGCTGGGATCTGGAGTGTGGCTGGGATCTGGAGTGTGGCTGAGGTCTGGAGTGTGGCTGAGGTCTGGAGTGTGGCTGGGATCTGGAGTGTGGCTGAGGTCTGGAGTGTGGCTGAGGTCTGGAGTGTGGCTGGGACCTGGAGTGTGGCTGAGGTCTGGAGTGTGGCTGGGGTCTGCCTGTCGCAGCAGCACAGATCCTGTGGGACAGGAGTCCTGGTGCATGGGGTGGCTGCGGTGCCGGTTACAGCACCTACACCCCGCACCAGTAACATGAGCCCTGCAAAAGGTGAAGTTTACTGGTCTTGCTGACTGTGGACTTTTCATACAATGGATTTATTCACAAGAGCTGGTGTGAAGGCTGCTGCTGGAGAGAGAAGCTTGGCTGAGAAGGAAGGAAACTCAAAAGGAAAAGAGCAAACATGGCACATGGCTGCAGACCCCACGTTGGGAACTGTGTCTGTATGAAAATGGACAGAATAAGCTCCTGGTTTTGTGGTGCTGTGTTGCCTCAGGTCGTTTCAAGCACTGAACTTTTTAAGCATCCAAGTCAGGAATCTGGAAGATTAGCCCAGGCTGGTGTGCCTGGCTGGGTCTGAGCTGGTTTTCCTTCTGCACTGCCAGTTTGCTGCTCTGGAGGCACCCACCAAGCCGTGCCATCTCCTCTGGAGGGGAAATTCCCTTTGGGAGAGGGAATGCAGAGAACCAGTTGGGGTAGGGGCCCAGACCCCTCGGTGGGCATGCAGGGACCTCTGCCCGACCTGAGCCCAGGTTCCCCGTGGCCAGTCTGTAGTCTGGGGGCTGTAACCCGCAGCAAACCAAGGATGAGTTTAACCGTGGTGCCTGGTTTGTGTTGGCAGCGGCAGCTCTGCACTCCCGAGGTAAGTGGAGCCGTGCCGGGGCGGCAGGACCAGGCCAGGCGGTGGCACAGCTGCCCCGAGGGCTCTCCCTGTGCCGTGGGTCGATGTGGGGGCTCGGGGCAGGACAGTGACACATGGCATGTCCTCGCTGCAGTGACCTTTCCTCATGCATGCAAACCTTGGGAAGGCGAGTGCTGTGTCCGTGCCCACCTTCTGCTCCGCTCTGGCATCCTCAGCAATGTGGGAATCCCTGGCACTGTGCGGGGTCGGGGTCCCTGCCGGGGGCAAAGCCTTGGCCTTGGCAAGAGCAGGAGCAAATCTAGAAACTGGAGAAGTCTCCGGTTCTGGAACAATGAGCTTTGCTGGTTCTGTTAGGGGTTTTGGGGGTTGTTTTGTTAGTTGGGTTTTCCCTGCTGCAGCAGCAGCAGCAGTGCTGTGCCAGCACTCCTTGTCGGTGCTGAAGCTGCTGGCTGAGCCAGGGGCTGGGGACCCTGGTACCATTTTCCCTGTCTCCCATTAGCTCAGTCTCCCGTTAGCTCCTTCTCCCATTAGCCCTGACTCCCTTTAGCCCTGTCTCCCATTAGCCCAATCTCCCATTACTCACCACACTCCCCTGCTGTGCCCTGGCCCCCGTGGTGCTGGTGGCACCAACGCAGTGGGTGCTGGGGCCGAGGGCAGGCTCTGCTGCTGCTCCCTGCCCGGGCTGGCCCCGGAGCAGCAGCTCCTGGGACCCTTGGTGTGAGGCCATTCTTGAGCTGGCCATGCAGCATCTCCTGGGACCATCAGTGGGTGCCGTGTCCAGACCAGCCCCGTGGCAGCTCCGAGGGCTGTCAGTGGTGCTGTGCCTGGGTTGCCCTCAGCAGCTCCCAGGACTGTCAGTGTGGTCCCACATCAGCACGGCTTCGGCCGCAGGAAGGGCTGGTCCTGCTCCTTGTCCCCTCACTGTCTGTTCTGTTTCTTTGCGCAGAAGCCGGGGCCTCTCTGCAGGACACCAGCCCTTCTCCACTCCCTGAAAACGTTGCCACCGACGTTCTTACTCGGCAGAAAACAATCCGGTTCCAACTCTCCAAGGATTGACGTGTCGCACCGCACTCACCCCACTGAAACCTTTACTTGAAGCTGCAGCCGAGGCCACAGCGAGGTCGGCTGCCTCGATAAAACTGTCTTCCCCCCTCACAGGTTGCCCATCTCCCATCTGCCACTCTAAATTACCTTTTTTTCTGGTGTCCAAGGTTTTTATAACTAAAAATTCTGACAAAAAATCTGGTGGCAACAGCTGCAGTCCCAGGTCATGTTCCATGTTGCCAGTGGTGAGGTCACGAGCTGTAAACACGGTAGCTTCTATCACCTGAACAATAAATGTTTTACTACAACAGCGTGGGCATGTTGGTTGATCCAGGGGCTTGTGCCTGGCAGGTTGGTTGATCCAGAGAGGGGTCTGTCACCCGGCTGTGCTGGG